TGATTGGTTTATATCCGTTATTAATGTAGTAGAAATGATTGGTTTATATCCGTTATTAATGTGTCGTCATAGATAGATATGATTCCTACACTAAAGACAGTGATAGTCAGCACCTATTTAAAGACCTGTCGTAATAGATAGATATGATTCCTACACTAAAGACAGTGATAGTCAGCACCTATTTAAAGACCTGTCGTCATAGCTAGATATGATTTATACACTAAAGACAGTGATAGTCAGCACCTATTTAAAGACCTGTCGTCATAGCTAGATATGATTCCTACACTAAAGACAGTGATAGTCAGCACCTATTTAAAGACCTGTCGTCATAGATAGATATGATTCCTACACTAAAGACAGTGATAATCAGCACCTATTTAAAGACCGTGGTGGACTTGTCATCATAGCTAGATATGATTCATATACTAAATACAGTGATAGTCAGCACCTATTTAAAGACCTGTCATCATAGCTAGATATGATTCCTACACTAAAGACAGTGACAGTCTGTATAAGACTGATTAATAATTCACACACACACACACACAAATATATATATATATATATACATATAGAAATATATATACAATCATACTCAATTTCGTTGCTATTTTAAATCAAATCTTTGATAGGTGGCACTTCAACCGAATACACTTGTTTGTAGTTAAGCACAAAGCTACACATTGAGCTATCTGTGCTGTGCCCACCACGGGTATCGAAACCCGGTTTCTAGTGCTATAAGTCCGTAGAAATACCACTGTGCCACTAGGGGGCCCGAATACACTTGAAAAGAAAATAGCCGACGGAATTTGAAAATAACAAATAATTAGAGTCAGCAGTTTTTATATGCGGGCGGTTGACAACCGGCATTTTTTGAAATCTGGTCTTATATAACCTTACTTACACCCATATAAGACACTGCAGATCCATGGTTCGCAGCCTGTTATTGCAAAAACGCGTTTCACACTCTGGGTCCTTGGGTGCGTTATAAGAGTGACGGTAAAGTCTCGCTATACTTCATGGGATCATTTCTATAGTATGATAATCGAGTTCTCAGATCGAAACTCGAACCCAAGTTCTTGTACTATGTTTAAGACTTGTATAGTTTATGAAATGCAAATATCTTGTTATTCATTGTACCCAAAAAATAACATAACATAATTTGTTCCATGTAAGTACTTGTATGTAAAAATAATTATCTTTTGTGATGCAATAAACTTTGGTTCCGGTCTTGTGTCCTTTCTGGGACGGGGTGCACTGGCCCTCAGGGGCAGGCCTCGGCTGTCAAGATCTGCTGCTCGTGTTTAGTTAATCAATCGTCAGGCGTGAAGCTACAATACACTTCAATCCATAATCAAGAAAGCAACCGCTCTTTCAATCTTCTTCTTAGCTTTCCCTCACGCTTCAACCACGGGAGATCAAGAGTTCAGAGAAACCACTATTATATTCGCTAAAATTATCGTAAGCCAGGGAAGAGAAAATAACATTAATTTCTGAACACCCCTAGTTTTACTACTAAACCTAAAATAACTACCAAAATAGATAGAGAGACTCGCTAATAAATTAGAATCGCTCGAGAATTGATGATTAGAGCTATTTATTCTATTGATACAAAAATTACGTATGGCTAACGCAGGAAGTCCATGTGTAGCTTGGTGCAAATATCCGAAGAGCGACAGTAATTATTGGTTGTATTCGTGTGAATAAAACAGATCGTAACTAAAAACAACCAATTGTGGCGAATTTAACATACCAGTCTAACTAGGGTTACCAAGAGAAATTTCTATTTTAGTTTAATACAGTTTCATAGAACAAGAGTCCATCGTAAACATTCAGATCTAATGACCTTTGATTTCGTGTCTTCTGATTTTCCTATAAATATAATAAGCCTAATTCCAAATTAACATTTATATAAATTTATACATTAAGCTTCATTCGTGTGTATTCTAATATATTCAGAATAATCAATTTCTTTAATATATTCGTGACGCATGTGTTAACAGTCTGATTTTATTGGTTAGTTCTGCTACCTGCTGTTTTACAAAAAAGCTCGCATGTGAAGTTTTACATAAGAATCCCACCTTATAAAGTTGGTCCTGTTTATAAGTTCTATAACAACGTTATCATAATCATTACTGATCATCCGGATCTCACGAAAGGAATTAATGTTGAAGAAGATGCAAGTAACTTTTTTCGTATTTGTTTATTGAATATAAAAAATGAACAAAGTAAGGGATGGAATCCGCGAAAAGAAACGACTTAAATAAGACATCTCCAGGTTGCAAAACTGTTTTATCATATTGTATTTATCATTGTCGCTTTTTGCTGTTTTGATTCCATTTATTCAACTAACGAGTCCACGTGGGTTTAAGACCTCGTGACGACCTTCTACTATAAGCTAACATACACACAATAGTCTATCAAAGTAGAGCAAAGATGAGCTTATTTATTAGCATAAATAATATTTCCTTATTGTATATATATAAATCTGTACGGTTAAAAAAAAAAATCCCAATTGGTCAATTCTGAAAGTAGCTGTAGCAGAACACAACCAACAACCTTTGGTTGCCTAGCAACAAAGAAAATGGGATCAAGTACCATTACCAAAAACACGGTGATCAAACAGCTGGCGATGCCATCAAGTACTTCTATTCTTTCCTTATTAACACAAATTCGAGTGCCACACTGTCAGTAACCAAGGGATGCGCTACTAGAGAAGCCTATTTTGTTTTATCCAAGTGACCAGCAGAAAGGGACATTTCAATCATCACCGGGACTGCGAGTCAATGTTTTCCACGTGACTGACAAGACGACAGACTCATGTCGACATTAAGGTTATTTTCTCTCTTCTTTTTTTTTATTCATTTATTGTCAGCGATCATTTTTTGGCAAAAGAATTTGATATTTTTCAAGATCTTAGCTTGATCTCACTTCAAGCTAATTCTTTCAGTTAGCTTCAACTCAATGTACAACGAGTAAAACATTTTCATTTGACTTTTAACCTAACTGTTCAACTTGATCGAGACGAGTTAAAAGTTAAAAGAGAGTATAAATCAACTTTCTACGACTAGAACACTTAATAACGGATATAAACCAATCATCCCAACTACATTAATAACGGATATAAACCAATCATCCCAACTACATTAATAACGGATATAAACCAATCATTTCTACTACATTAATAACGGATATAAACCAATCATTTCTACTAGGTCTTTAAATAGGTGCTCTAGATATGATTCCTACACTAAAGACAGTGATAATCAGCACCTATTTAAAGACCTGTCGTCATAGATAGATATGATTCCTACAGTAAAGACAGTGATAGTCAACACCTATTTAAAGATCTGTCGTCATAGCTAGATATGATTTCTACACTAAAGACAGTGATAGTCAACACCTATTTAAAGATCTGTCGTCTGTAATTGAAAGCTCTACTTTTGTTGAAAGCTCTACAGAGGTTGAAAGCTCTACTGTGGTTGAAAGCTCTACTGTAGTTGAAAGCTTTACTGTAGTTGAAAGCTCTACTGTAGTTGAAAGCTCTACTGTGGTTGAAAGCTCTACTGTGGTTGAAAGCTCTACTGAGGTTGAAAGCTATACTTTAGTTGAAAGCTTTACTGTAGTTGAAAGCTCTACTGTAGTTGAAAGCTCTACTGTGGTTGAAATCTCTACTGTAGTTGAAAGCTTTACTGTGGTTGAAAGCTCTACTTTTGTCGAAAGCTCTACTTTTGTTGAAAGCTCTACAAAAGTTGAAAGCTCTACTTTTGTTGAAAGCTCTACTGTGGTTGAAAGCTCTACTGTGGTTGAAAGCTCTACTGTAGTTGAAAGCTCTACTGTGGTTGAAAGCTCTACTGCGGTTGAAAGCTCTACTGCGGTTGAAAGCTCTATTGTGGTTGAAAGCTCTACTGAGGTTGAAAGCTCTACTGTGGTTAAAAGCTCTACTGTTGTTGAAAGCTCTACTGTGCTTGAAAGCTCTAGTGCAGTTCAAAGATCTACTGTGGTTGAAAGCTCTACTGTGCTTGAAAGCTCTACTGAAGTTGAAAGATCTACTGTGGTTGAAAACTCTACTCTTTAGGATGTTTTTTATTTTATTTTTACAGGTTTGGATAGAGAAACAGTAATGTTTCCTTATCAGCTTTATGTTAGTGTAGAAAGTTGAAAATGTTACATAAAGTGTAGATGATATATAATGTCTCACCCAATTCGCTTTCTCTTTCATCACAACACTCTCATTGATTTAGCCCCCAGTGGCTCAGCGGTAAGTAATTAGGCTTATAACGCTAAAAGTCGGGTTTCGATATCCAGGGTGGACAGAGCACAGATAGACCATTGTGAGATTTGTGCTTTACAAGAAAGGAACAAACGAATTGATTTTTGTGTACATGTATTCTCGGAATTCCACGTATTACGTTTCTTTATATAAATAAATGATGGCTAAAGATACGTAGTGCAAATACACTGGCAAAAAAAAAAAACTTCCAATTTATATTTTCAGTAAGTTGTTAGTTTCTACGCACAATTAACACTTCGTGTGTAGCAGTTGTGGTAAAAGTAACTTACTGTCTCTGTTAGTAGTAAGTGAATAACAAGGTTGTGTGTGAGAGTTCTGGGTATTGAACAAGACAACAAACAAGAGGGAGACTGCCTACAAAGCGCCCTCGGAAAGAACCATGGCTGGACGTGTGTTATACAGCTAACTCTGAGATTGTTCGTCACCACCAGATCCACCATCTGGCACCACCGAGTTCTCTGGAAATCAGCCTAGACAGAACGTGTGGGATGGCTGGATAGAGGGTGACGCAAAAAAAGAAGCCTGTCAACACCTATCTAAAGACCTGTCATAACTAGATATGCTTCCTACACTAAAGACAGTGATAGTCAGCACCTATTTAAAGACCTGGCATAATTAGATATGATTTCTACACTAAAGACAGTGATAGTAAGCACCTATTTAAAGACCTGTCGTCATAACTAGATATGATTCCTACACTAAAGACAGTGATAATCAGCACCTATTTAAAGACCTGTCGTCATAGTTGAAAGCTCTACTGTAGTTGAAAGCTCTACTGTGGTTGAAAGCTCTACCTCAGTAGAGCTTTCAACCTCTGTAGAGTTTTCAACTATAGTAGAGCTTTCAACCACAGTAGAGCTTTCAACCTCTGTAGAGTTTTCAACTACAGTGGAGCTTTCAACCACAGTAGAGCTTTCAACTACAGTAGAGCTTTCAACTACAGTAAAGCTTTCAACTAAAGTATAGCTTTCAACCTCAGTAGAGCTTTCAAGCACAGTAGAGCTTTCAACAACAGTAGAGCTTTCAACTGCACTAGAGCTTTCAAGCACAGTAGAGCTTTCAACTACAGTAGAGCTTTCAACTTCAGTAGAGCTTTCAACTACACTAGAGCTTTCAACTACACTAAAGCTTTCAACTACAGTAGAGCTTTCAACCTCAGTAGAGCTTTCAACCACAGTAGAG